CAAATCCGACATTCCGACGGACAATATTCCTCGAAATTTTCTCGGAATCCACTTAATTTGATTTTCGCAAAATTTTTGGCGATCCGATTTCCCGGTTAATGAAAATATTACATGTTCCTTGGAATTTCCTTTGTATATTCCGAGGTATATTCCGAGGAACATGGAATATGCTCTGCATGTCTTCCTATTGGTCAGAGGTTTTCTCGGAATTTCCTCGGAATATACCGAGGAAACCTTGTTTGGGGTTTCAAAACCTAAATTTTTGATACGGTCGACCATTCATTGAACAATTTTGACAGTTTTTCAATGAATGACATTGAAGATTCTTTCAATAGATGCCCATAAACCATGAAATTACAAAATTTAGGAAACGAGTACACGTCTTGTTGTTTACGTTCATTAAAGTGTATAAGTGTTTATCTTGTTGTTTAGGCATTTCGTTTATACAATTGGAAGAGAGTTTATTACTAGAAAACACACCAGTATTTCACTTTATAATCAATCTAAGACAGTAAATAAGGTTTATTTAAGTCACATGTTCAATTTTAAATGGAAAAACGTTATTTTCGATCAAATATCTTAATTCCTTGGTAATTTCAAGGAATATACCGACGAAATTCCGAGGAAAAGGCATAGTTCCTCAGAATTTTCTAGGTATATTTCGAGAAATTACCGAGGAAGATAATCCCTAAGCTTAAATCCCTAAATGCGAAATTTATTCTCCACATACCGAGGAAATGCCGAGGATATGTTGTTTTTCCTCGGTATTTCCTCGGAATTGTATTAAAAAAGGATTGTCGATACTACTCTGTTTCCGAGTCATCATCATCACCAGATGAATCTGAATCTGGATCTTGGTGAAACCCCGAATCTCTGGTTTATCCACTACGTGATTGATGGCTTCCTCTCGAAAATCGGTAAAATCGACAACAAGGTCAATTCCAACTACATCTTCTGCTGCACTTAAGCTGCCCGATGTGCTTGGTTGTAGTGGGTCTTCCAGCTCAGAACTTCCCTGAACTCGGCCTCTCGGGTTAAGTGATGTAACAGTAACCCATGGATCATCTCTGTTCCTAACCCGGGGGTACTTGATATAACAAACCTGTAAACATTTAAAAAATTATATGTAAATTTATAACTTAATACATATATTAATACATATTTGAATAATTGACATATATATATATATATACATCTAATTACCTGATCAGCCTGAGAAACAAGAATGAAAGGATCATAATATTGCAGCTTTCGTCTTGAATGTACTGATGTAACACCAAATGCATATGTTCTCACACCCCGATCCGGAGTGTTGTCGTACCAATCACAATAGAAAATAATACAGCGCAATCCAACCATGCCCGAATACTTGATTTCCAAAATCTCGCATATGTTTCCGTAGTATACATCATCTCCTGATGCAGAACAAACGCCAGCATCATAAGTCGTAATTGAATGTCTCCTCTTTTGAGTTGTGAATGCATATCCTCGAGTACAAAATCTCGGATATGACTTCACAACATACTTTGGTCCACACACCATCTCGCGTATCCAATCGTCAAATGTTTCACCTCTCGCCATACCAGCAGACACCTATTAATAGAAATTATGTTAAATCAATATAAATATGTGATAAATAATATTTTAATTTATTTAAAGCACTCACATAAGTAAGCATCCATCCAGCAAATTTTCTCTGCTTCAGTTCTTCTAGTTCCTCCTCTTTAGCGTATCTATGTTCGAACCGCTTTTCTGCCATATAAATCATGTATATTATGATGTCAATAATGTAATTAATTAATTAAGATTTAAATTTCAACATGTTAAAATAAAAATTTGTAAATTTATTTACCTCTCATATTAAAGAACATCTTCGCAGTTGGTGAGTAAATATGTTTGTAAATGACTGTGCTCCTGTTCAGTAAGTCAACAGTCCTTTGGTTTTCCGATAAGTCGTGCAACATCTGTGAAGATGTCTCGAACCGTAACATAATATGTTGCCATTTCGCCTCTATCATCTTGCCGAGCAGGTCTTCTGTTTTTGGTCTGCACTTCTGCTGGAAAGTAGTACTCGGCAAAGTTTGAAGTTTCTTCATTGATCATATGTGTGACTATAGAACCTTCCACCCTACTTAAATTTTTCACCATCTTCTTCAGATGGAACATATGCCGCTCATATAGATACATCCTTCTATTATGCACTGGACCACCAAGTTCCAATTCTCTTGCTAAGTGAATAACAAGATGCTCCATAACATCAAAAAATGATGGAGGAAATATCTTCTCAAGGTTGCACTGGATCACATCTATGTTAGTCTTCAAATTTTCAATACATTCAAGAGTCACTGATCTCGTGCATAAATCACGGAAGAAAGCACTTATCCCTGCAATTGCTTCATAAAGATTCCGTGGTAATAGTTCCTTGAAGGCAAAAAAGGAGGCGCTGCATCATTACATGGCAATCGTGACTCTTCAAGCCGATAAACTTTCTTTCGTTTTTGTCGACACAGTTACGCAAATTTGATGCATAACCGTCTGAAAATTCCACATCCTTTGAAATCCACTCAAAGAACGCATCCTTTGCCTCTGCATCCAGTCGGTATATGGGAAAATGAGCCATACCATTCTCATCAACATGAAGTTCTGAACGAGCACACATATCGACTAAATCCAGTCTTGATTTCAAATTGTCCTTTGTTTTATCTTGAACGTTAAGGATCGTGTTCATGAGATTGTCAAAAAAAGTTCTTCTCAATATGCATGACATCTAAATTATGCCTCAGAAGATGACCCTTCCAGTATGGCAGATCCCAGAAAATACTCTTTTTGTGCCAGTTATGTAGTTCTCCAACAGCATCTACCGGATAATGCACATGTCCACCAACGTCTGGCGTCCTTTCTGCACCAAAATCTCTTAGCTGTGTCAAAAAATCTGCCCCACAAATTTTTGGAGGTGGACTGTCAAACATCCTCTTGTTCTTCGTAAAAAAATTCCTACTCCTACGATATGGATGATCAGGTGGTAGGAATCTCCTGTGACAGTCAAACGAACACGTTTTCCTTCCGTGTTTTAGTTGGAAAGCATCAGTGTTATCTTGAAAATAAGGACAAGATAGCCTTCCATGCGTTGTCCATCCAGATAACATACCATATGCTGGAAAATCACTTACTGTCCACATAAGTACTGCCCGCATTTGAAAGTTTTCCTTACACGAAACATCGTATGTTTCAGCACCTTAAGCCCATAGTTGTTACAACTCATATATTAGTGGCTGAAGAAACACATCAAGTGATCTCCTAGGATGCTCTGGCCCGGGAACGAGAATGGAGAGAAATAAAAAATCTCGACACAAGCACAAGTTTGGTGGTAAGTTGTATGGTGTAAGAATGACTGGAGATAGAGAATAATGTCTCTCATGCTTGCCAAATGGGCTGAAACCATCCGTACATAATGCAAAGTAGACATTTCTTCTCTCATACACAAAATCTGGATATGATGATTGGAAATGCTTCCAAGCTTTTGCATCTGAAGGATGTCTAATCTCACCATCTGTTGAATGCTCCGCATGCCATCTCATTGGTTGCGCTATGCGTTCAGACTGATACAACCTCTGCAACCTTTCCGTCAAAGGAAAATACCACATCCTTTTGTATGGCACTGGAACTCTTCCACTCGTATCTTTATAACGAGCCTTCCCACAAAATTTGCATATAACCCGCTGCTCATCCGCCCTCCAATAAATCATGCAGTTATCGCTGCATACATCTATTACCTGATACGATAAACCAAGACCAGCTACCAGTTTCTGAACCTCGTAGTATGAACCAGGGGCTACATTATCCTCAGGTAGAATACCTTTTACAAAATCAGCAATCGTATCCACATAGTCTTCAGCCAAATTATAATTCGTTTTAATGCCCATCAGTCTTGTTGCAGATGATAAAGCTGAATGACCATCTCTGCAACCTTCGTACAAAGATTGCTTTCATGCATCCAACATATAAAAAAATCTCCTAGCTTCTGCATTGGGTAAATCTTCCCCTCTAGAATGATCATTTACCATCTGCTCAGTACCTACACCATAATCTACCTCCGTTCTAATTGGTTCTTCTAACCTAACCGCAGGCTGAGGTCCACTAGTACTTCCATATTCATAATTAGTTTCCCCATGATGATACCAAACTCTGTAACTTCATGTAAACCCTCTCAAATATAGATGAGTCCAAACATCTAACTCTTTTGTAATCTTTTTTATTTTTACAAGTAGAGCAAGAACATCTTAACATACCCGTTTTTTATTCCGGTTGTCGTTGAACTAACGCCATGAATTCGCCTATACCTCTTTGGTACTCTTCCGTAAGCAATCTTGTGTTAGGATCCAAATGAGGTCGATCGATCCAAGAACGATAATAATTAGAAGAAGATGCTTTTTCAATCAAATTCGTGTGTAAATATAATATGTGAGAGGTTGAAGATATGGAGTGAATGAAGAGGATGAGGGGTGCTTGTATTTATAGATCAAATGTGTCGATAATTCAGAGGAAATTACTACGGAATTCCGACGACAACGGCTAGTTTCTCGGAATTTCCTCGGAATTTTAAAATCCCCCAACGGTTCTCTAACAGCTATAATATATCCTCGGATTTTCGTCGATTTTTCGAGCAATATACTTTTCTCGGAATTTCATCATAAAATATCGACGCATATTTGCTTCCTCGGAATTTCGTCAGTATATTCCGAGGAACAAGAAAACCCAAAAATTGTGTTTTTTTTGAATTGCCTCGGAATGTTCCGGAATATATCGAGGAAGACAAAATCTGTCGGAATGTCCGTCAGAATCGCGGTGTTTTCTTGTAGTGATAAAGACATAATTTTATCAATCAAGAATCGATACTTTGGCCGTTCGACTCGGCTTTAACTAGAAGTTGATTAAGCATGTGTAATGTATTTAGGGTGCTAGTGGATTTAGTAATCATAGGGGATGATAATTATCTCCGAATTTTTCCTCCACAACTTTCAAACTCAAGTATGTACATGTTATAAAATGTTTAGCAAGACCAAATATTGTCTATGCAGAAAAAGTTGAAAAATAAGAGACTTCCAGAGACAAAATGAGAAGTCAAAGAGTAAGGGGAGAACAATTTTGTGTGTGTGTCAAATTAGTCATCTTCCAGCAACAGTAGTCAAAGTAATATCGTTCACCGTGGCAACATCCTGACTTTCCACTGTCTCGCCGAAGCTCAAGAAAGAATGGAAGGTAGGCTGTCTTGGTCGTGGAAGGTGACTGGTTTGACTCTCCAACATCAACAAAACTAAACCCATGTCTGGTCTGTGAATCACCGAGTCTTGTGCACACAACATCCCCACATGGATGCATTTTATCGCTTCATTTACGTCTCGAATCTCCGTCACCGTTGGATCTATTAGCTCTTTGGTCTTTCCTTGGCTCCATAAATTCCACGCCTGAAATTTTGTCCTTTTAGAACATGAGTTTCTATAAATGGAAAAAACAAACGAACCAAACAAACTTAAATATTAATTAAAAGAAACATACATAACCGATGAGACTTCTATGTTCAGAACCTCGAAAGCTAACGTTCTTGCGTCCACTTACAATCTCAAGTATCAACACTCCAAAGCTATAAACATCAGATTTCTCTGAGAACATCCCTTCCATTGCATACTCCGGAGCCATATAACCACTAGACATGCATGTTATCAACATCAGAACCAGAAGAAAGCAATACAGGTTCACATTGTATATAGAAGAAAAAAACAATAAAGAGGTTCGGTTAATTACTATGTGCCCACGACTCGGACCGTGTTGGCCTGATCTTGTCGGTAATTGAAGATCCTAGCCATACCGAAATCGGAGATCTTAGGTTTCCATTCTTTGTCCAGCAAGATATTGCTAGCTTTTAGGTCACGGTGAATGATCTTTAGTCTTGAGTCTCTATGCAAGTAAAGCAATCCTCTTGCAATTCCTCCAATGATATCCCATCGCTTTCGCCACTCTAAACTTCCTTGTTTACTCTCATCTGCGCATGCATAAATAAGTTTTTAGCTACGAAAATTCCACACACTGTTTCTTGATAATGTAGCAAAAGAAAACATACTAAAAAGGAAACGGTCCAAGCTATTATTTGGCATGTATTCATAGAGAAGTATTTTCTCGTCGTTTTCAATGCAACATCCTAGTAATCTAACGAGATTCCGATGCTGGAGTTTCGCGATCAGTAAGATCTCGTTCTTGAATTCCTCTACTCCTTGCTTAGATTTTCCTGATAGCCTCTTCACCGCCATCTCTCTTCCTTCTGAAAAGATCCCCTGTCCAAACATAAACCATATGTTTTTGCATAAAGACTAAGCCTAATTATCGATCCAAAGATTAAGCTCACATAAAAAAATAATTAGGAAAAATTCTCTCAGGTAGATATGTTTCAAGTTTTTATCACCAAAATAATCTCCAAATAAAAAAAATAGCCAAAAAAATGTTTTATTGAAAAGACAAAATACACTCTAAGTAAACAAATACCAAAAGATGTTTCATTAAAGAGATAAAATATTCTTCTACCCATTTGAAAATATAAAAATATAAAGATAAAAAGAAAAAAGTATACAATTTTGAATTATATATTTTCAGATTCAAACTTTTTTATAATTTTTTTCTTAAATATTTTTTAAAAATAAATATTTTTCTCAAATTTTCTTTTAGAATTTTGAAAATTCATTTTGAAACTATTTACAAAAATTATTTTTAAGTTTTTAATACTTATTATTACCCTTTTTAAAAAAATTTAAATCCTATTCTTTAATTCTAAACAAAAGTTTTAAGGTTAGTTCACACTAATTACATAAGCGTATATTTACCTTTAGTAAAACCTCCTTTTGTCACTTTCTTTATAGAAATTCATTTTGTGAAAATAAACTAAAAAAATTTATTAGTAATTAACATTCAGTTGCTTCACCTTATATACAGTACCAAAACCACCTTGTCCAATCTTGTTTTCTTCAGAGAAATCTCCTGTTGCCGAAGCTACGTTGTTGAAACTGAAAGTTGGCAAATCGGGTGTGTCAACTTGATCCTCAGCTGGAACTTGGCTCAGCGAGCATGAGGACTTAACTGAGTAATCTCTGATATCCAAAACTGTATTATCTTTCTTCTTGCGCAAGAAATCTATAGATGATGAAATAACAGATCTCTCAGTCTCAGACCCTTTTGAAAGTAGACAATAGACAGCATTTACCTTTAACTCTTTTCCTGAACTTGCATAAGATCCAAATGCATAAGCAGCATAACCCGAGCAGGAATGCACCTATACTACTAAAAACAGTTATTAAAAATTCCGTTTTTTCCTTCCTGTCTCCTGTATACATAAGAAAAAAAAAAGCCCAAACACAGATTTCAGGCTAGTCATATTTGAATCTTTCAAATATTATAAGATTCCTAAAATGTTTACAAACTTATTTCAGATGCCGCTAGCCGGATGTTGATGGAGTTTCCACCGTGCTCAAACTGCTCCATATCAATCAAATCTCGAGTCCAAATCATGCATCCGATCCCTGGTATGACCTTATAAGCATTACACGAGCAATCCCTCAGGCATACATCCTTACAAGTCCCTGATGAGCTGTTAATAGACACAACTGATCCAAAATCAGGAACCTTCATTCCCTTAAGTACCCTAAACCCGTCTACTCCATCCGCAGACAGACTCTGCCTGCAATTCAGTGAGACTCTTCTTTTGCAGCCACCCGAGTAATTTCCATTGTTCCATTGATTTCGATAAACCGGATCAAACCCATAAATGCAACTACATTTACCAGAATCAAAGTCTTTACTATCATTACATACGCTGTAATTACCGCAACGGTTATACTTCTCGCATTCCTTGCTGGGTTTCACTTGAAGTGAAGCCCATTTCCTGGCTACCCTATTCCATCTCAACTGCTCTACAATGCCATCATATCTGATCCGAAATCTCAATATGTCATCCTTATTTGATGGAACATACGTGAAGAACACGCTACCATCTGGATCAGGAGGAGAAGAGAGCTTAAACCCATGAATATAATTGGTCAAGTTAAACATATCTGGTACACCGGTAAAGATGGCTGAGTTCCAGGGTCCGCTTCGCCATTTCCTCCTTTCCCCTTCCCAAATCACAATCTCTATTGCCCCAAAGGGATCAATCCCCATTGAATACCTTCCTGGTGAAGGATCAGTTTCCGATTTCCAGGGGATAAAAGCACGATTTTCTCCCATGGAAGGGTTCACCCAAACCCGCATACCGGGCAAGAAAGTATCAGTTGGGTTGTTAAAGCTCGCCCAGTACCTAGTGTCCCTGTCTGAATCTGAAGACAGAACCAGATCCCCTGCTTCCAACAGAATAGCAACAGTGTTGTTCAACTTGAGGGGAACATTTGTGGACCAAACGATGTTGTTTCCACCGTTGACTATCACCAAGTTCCCATCATCAGCAATCTTCAAGGCTCCTTTGTGATCAGACAAAGGTTTTTCTCGATTAGCTACCCAGACAATTGTTCGAGGTTGGATGTTCTTGTACCAGATTCCGACATACCTTAAGGTTAAATCTTTTGGGCTGAAGAATCCAAGCTCGAAAACTTTGTCCTTGCTGATCAGTGAGTCTCCGTCTCGTATCGTGCGGTTTCGGGTGATTGAGGTGCTTGTGATGCAAGATACGATGCAGCACAGTTTAAGCAAAATCAGAAGGGTCGTGACTAACGCAAGGTCTCTGTTAGATTCTGCCATTTTTCACAAGATTTGATCCTCTGATATCTGTACATTACAAGAAAGAAGTTAATGGAAAAAGCCAAAAATAGTAGTTGTTGGTTTCTTAAAAATTCTTTTTGTAAGTTTGCTGTTTGCTCAGGAAGACTAAACTGATTGGTCTTTCGAACAACTTGTATTTGTTTTTATATTAAGAGAGATTAAGTCATGATAATGGCCATGTTTGTTTCCAAGGACACTTGTGATATTCGAGTGCGATTGGTCGTAGATGCACTCGTTATTCGTTTTGTTGTCTTTTTTTTTTTTATAATGCTGATTTATTGTTATATTACAATTATGATAAAGATTACATATACGATCCAACAATCGGCAATATTATCCGCCTTATGAAGATCTACGACTAACTGCATCATTTAAGCCGTTCTATAAAAATCCATGCATGACCAAATTACTTGCACCATATTAAAGATCCCTTGTAAGTATTTTTTCTGTAGTCTACACTAATAAATCACTTCATTCGAGACTTGCAATCTACGACTAACTGCATCATTTAAGCCGTTCTATAAAAATCCATGCATGACCAAATTACTTGCACCATATTAAAGATCCCTTGTAAGTATTTTTTCTGTAGTCTACACTAATAAATCACTTCATTCGAGACTTGCAACCTGATTTTTCTATAATCTATAAAAATTATATGATCTAGAATTCGAACCCCAGATATAGGTGTAAAAACCTTTAAAACTTAACCAATAGACTACGATGCTTCCACTATTTGTTTTGTTGTCGTGTGGCTGATCGCGTGATTAATCTCACATGTAGCTATCTTATACTATTAAAATAACTAGCGATTAAAATCTGACTGGTTTAAACGTAACAGTTACGGTTTTAAGTGCGCGTTATTAAGCATTTGTAGTACATCGGTGAGAAATTAGTATTTTTGCAGGATATTATGACTAATTAACCATCAAATGTAGCATTGATTAAATAATAAATTAGCAACTAGATTTTAATCTGCACAATCGCGTATGTGTTTAATTTCATTTCTACATTTTATAGATATTTGTTATATATATATATATATATATATATATATATTATTAATTGTTAAGCACATGTTTAAAGGTTAATTATTTCAAATACAATAATTTTACATGTTGTACTAAATTAGTTGTTTCAAACCGTCACATGTATTTGTCTCTTCTTATTATATATTTATCTTGATGAGTTTTCATTTGTTTATTAATTGGACCAATATATGCATGAAAAAACATATTTAACATAAAATATATTAATTTATCAACTTAGTATATTTTTATCTTATTTAATTCAGTATAAAAATTATTTTAATATGATAGATTATGATATAAAATAAATAAAATAGGATAAATTTATTTTTCATTTTATAAACAAGAACTGAATATATATTAATGTATAATAATATTTTATTATTAATTAGGAAATTAGTGCAAATATTTAGATAAGATTTTTGAAATTGAGATCTTTTTCTACAAATTTTCTAGAATTTTTTAAAATATATATTTAAATTTAAAATGAAAAGATATAGAAATATAATATGATTAAAGTAGTTACATAAATTTTATATTATTAATGTTAAGAAAATACATTTATAAATGTCTAAGAAGAGTCCAACTAAAAAATCACACATGAAATGATGTTGTGACTTCTCTTTTAATAGAGCAAATATTAACACTTTATATAGTTAGAAAATTATCAAAAATCATATTATGATAATAAATATAAAAATTGTATTAATAAAAATCATTGTATTAAGGTTTTTTTAAATATAAAAGTACTTTTTGTTTGAAACTTTTATATTAAAAATTATAATATTAATATATATTAGTATTTATATTATTTAATTTAATTTTAATTAATATATATATATATATTTAATAGTTTTAAAAATATATAAAAAATAAATACATTAAACTGGTAAAAATCAATTGTTTTAATCTATATAATACTAGTTCACTTCTAAGGCTCCTAAAGCTATCCACATCAGCAAGTTTGTGGGTCCCGTGCATTTAAATTTTAAAAGTTTAGAGTTTATTTAAAATGAGTATGAACAATGAATATACTTTAGCCTAATGGTATAAGGCATCTAATGAAGTCCACAAGTGTGTGGGTTCAAACCACGCAAATCTTATGTATTTTAGTTTTTTTTTAATTGAATTATTATCATATGGATTTTTTAGTTTTAATGTTTTTATGTTTTTTTCCCTCTGGACTTATTGTTTAAAACTCAAAATAGTGGGACATATCCTAAAGTTTGACGAACTCACGTCAAACCCAAAAACAATTAAAAAGGATAAAAAAACGAACAGCCCAAAATATAAAATGAGTCCCACGTGGCACTATCATGTCCTAATATATATTTTCTGTTAGAACATATTATTATATGCGTTTTTTAGTTTTAATGTTTTTATGTTTTTTTCTTTTCTGGACTTATTGTTTAAAACCTAAAATAGTGGGACAAATCCTAAAGTTTGACGAACTCAAACCCAAAAACAATTAAAAAAGGATAAAAACGAACAGCCCAAATAACAAAAAACAAAATGAGTCCCACGTGGCACTATCATGCCCTAATATATATTTTTTGTTAGAACATATTTTCTAATATAGATTTTCAAAAAATTATGAATGTGAAATAAAATAAAACAACAAAATTTAAATATTTTTGTTATTAATAAAATAACTATGTAATTTCTCTTCAATTTTTAATAGTTACTATAATTTCATTTTTATCAGACTCCGGCGAATGGATTTCCACAGTCGATGATGCCGTAAATAAAAATGCCACATTATTCATGAACAAAATCAAAACTTACAAAAAAACATATCCAAACCTATCTATTGAAACCCAAACAACAAATATTAGCTTAAATTAAATTTATTTTCAAATTGATAAAATCGTCTAGTAAAAATATAAATACTATAAATAAATAATTATATCAAGTTTTGACCTCCGATATAAAAAAAATTCCAACATAAAAAAATAAAAAACAAGATAGACACCTATTATTATACACTATAAACTATATTATAATTTAGTTATTCCTATAAACCTTACTTCGCATATAAATAACATTTAACACATTATATATACAATATTTTCACTTTACACTCTTGATACATTATTTCCATTTCATCACTAAAAACAAAACGAGTCCCACGCGGCATTATCATGTCCTAATATATATTTCTGTTAGAACATATTTTCAAAAAATTATGTATGTGAAATAAAATAAAACAACAAAATTTAAGTATTTTTTTGTTATTTATAAAATAACTACGTAATTTCTCTTCAATTTTTAATAGTTACTATAATTTCATTTTTATCAGACTCTGGTGAATGGATTTCCATAGTCGATGATTCCGTAAATAAAAATGCCACATTATTTATCAACAAAATCCAAACTTACAAAAAAACATATCCAAACCTATCTATCGAAACCCAAACAACAAATATTAAGTTATTTTCAAATTGATAAATCGTTTAGTACAAATATAAATACTATAAATAAATAAGTACATCAAATTTTGACATCCGATATAAAAACTATTTCCAAGATAAAAAATTAAAAACAAGATAGACACCAATTATTATACACTAGAAACTATATTATAATTTCGTTATTCCTATAAACTTTACTTCGCATATAAATAACATTTAACACATTATATATATAATATTTTCACTTTACACTCTTGCTACGTTCTTTAAATTTCATCATCATTTAGTATTATTAGAATAACCCACTAAACCAACAACCAAAAAAAACACAGACAAACATCAATGATCTCCGGCCCCGCGCTTGCGCGGGGGGTATGCAACTAGTTAACTTAATGAACCAATAAATTCTAATAATAATATACATTTAATCATAAACCACTTTTAACTATTAGTACTGCTTTAGTTTGCTTATTTGCTAATACACACTTATAATTAATTTTAATTGTATATTTTTTTAAAAAGAGATGTATAAATTTTAAAATTTATAATTTAATATTATATAGTTTATTTATTTGATTAATATCATATGTATATATATATATATATTATATTAACAGTGCTATATGAGTTATTAGTTAATAATTATTAATAGTTTTCAATTTTTTTTTGCTAAAAATAAATATATATACATAAATTTTGTCTTTTAATGATGATGTAAGAGTTAGTAAGAAAATTTTACATGTCACAAGTTCATATCATGCCACATTTTTCAGAAGTCATGTCATCTTTTTGGTGAGAATGAATGTGCAAATTACTTTACTTAGAAGATATAATCAAAGAGATTAAAAGTAGTATTTTATTGATCTTAATTGAAGGAGTACAAAGTATTGTGTATAAACTCTAATTTTACTTGCCTGTCGTTTAGTCAAAAGTGTTTCAAGTTTGATTCCTTCTTCTAGGGTTTTAGAGTCCCTTATATCGGTAGCTTTTGGTGAGATCTATGTTAGATTTGACCAGATTATGAAATATGGAAAGATCTTCCTTTATCTCGAAGTTTTCCTTTTTAGTTCAGAGGCAAGAAGAATGCACAACCAGAGGCCGAAAACTAGAAAACCAGAGATGAGAGGACCGCATCCCTCTTTACCTAAGAAGATCTACTCTTAGATTAGTTATCTCCAACTTTGACCTTTGTTTTACGAGTTCATGTTTGAAATCAGAAAAGAATTTGTGTTTATCGGATGGCAGGATTTGTACTTTCGCACCAAGTTTCTTATGGCTTAGGGAACATGATGTAGCCTATGAAACTATCGAGATATTATTGGGGTTAATTGGCAAGTGTTTTAAAAGTGTTGTAGAAGCTTTTCTAAACCTAAATTACTTTTAGATCATAAGATTTTTTCAATTATGTTTTGTAAAGATTTTTTA